AAGCTAAACCCACAGGCTGTTGAGGGGGAAGAAGATCAACAAGTTTCGAGCAGTTGAGTGCAGTGGAGGATAGAGCTTTATCGACGATGCCGATATCCACATCTGTCATATTGTAAATAGGATCAGTAGAACGCTGCTGCCTCTTCTTGGGTTGAGAAAGTGGAGTCCCTTGCTTACGCTTGCGCTTCCGATGCTTTCCAGTACGCAAGCTTATGAACGACATAAGAAAAACTTATATTAAATGATTAGTTTCAGCGAAAATGTAAACTTTTGTAGCAGAAATAAGAATAACTACATAAAAGTATGAAGTTTTGTATTTTTGCGAATAAACTATTCGCAGAAAAAGACCCCAATCAACTCAACCAAAATGTTAAATGATTTAGTTTCTACAATCTTTGTAAACTTGAACACTGTCAAAAGTTATGGTCCTTTTGCTGAAGTTTTCTGAAACCACATGAATAGCTCGGGGAAAATAGAAGACCAAACAAAATAATACCTTTCTTCAAAGGCTTCAACAACATCAGCAATTGACTGGAGATTATCCAACGGTTCCCATGTATTGGCCGTCTCTGGCCAACCGCGCCTGTATAAGTCAATAGCAATAAATACCCCAAATCAATTAACAGGCAAAGCAGATTACGCTTTTATTAAGTTTCCAAGTTTGAGATTTTAGATACACAAGTGCTTCGCGGTTTATTACGTATTACTATATAGGGTTGTTTATTGGGATAAGAATGTCTACTAGACACAGATAGGCCTTAATCTTCTCCCCTCCTCCTCTTGCCCAAACTATTTTCCATCTTCGACATGAACATAACTTTGATTTGATTCACCCAAACGGAGCAGTGTGCGCGTAAATTAAGTTAAACAACAACAAAAAAGAGGATACGAAGGAGGTTTACGCACCATTTGATGAGGTACTGGAGCTGACCCTATATCATGGTTTTGCAACATACACAAATGAAAACACAAAGCACTCAGTAATCAGATTAAATAAGTAAGCAAACATAAACACCCATCATTTCTTACCACAACTCAAATTAAACAACCGAATGAAAATTACCCAAATCATTTCTCACTGGAAAAGTTCAATTGGTAACAAATTAGTATAAAAAATTGTAAAAACAAAAAAATTGGGAGCAGAGAGGAGTACCTTCCGAACCCTTTTCCGGCGAATCGCTTCGATTTCGTAGAAGCCGTCATCAAGCTTGTTACGCTCTCTATTTTCGTCATCACCACCAGCCGCACCGTCACCGTCGCCACCACCCTCATCATCACCGTCCTCTTCAGCTTCGCCGTCTCCCTCGCCATCGTCAGCTTCTTCGGTAGCCTGAGGTTCCTCCAGATGCTCTTGCTCATGAGCGGCGGCAGAAGCTTGCTGTTGGTGAAGAAGAGCAAAAGGGCCGTCGGGGTTGTTGTTGCCGGCGTCTCGCACAAGAAGCGCACCGGCAGCAGGCATTGCCTCCTTCCAATTGTTGTCCCAAATCTCCCTTCTCCCTACCTTGGTTCTCATTTGTGCTAGCTACTATACAGTGATGGAATTTCGAAGGATTCTCTCTCTCTCTCTCTCTCTCTCTCTCTCTCTTGTTTCTCTCTCTAGAGTGTTGAGCCCCAATTCCCCCCAAACATGTAAACCTGACTGCCACTTCCTTTTCAAGCGTTTTTCCTACCCTTATTTCTCTCTCTCTCTCTCTCTCCTCTCGTCTTTCTCTGTTTCTCTCTCTCCCCTTCGTTTTCCTTTTCTTTCATTTTCCCCCCTCTATCCCGCCTTTAATTTTCTTATCAATTTCAACTTCTACCATTTAATTCTATAACGTGTCAATGTTTTATATTCAAATTTGAATTGTTTTTCAATTTAATTAGTAATCAATATGGGAATTATTGGGTGACATGTGATTCGATAAAAATATCTCGAATAAATTTGGTGGCTTAATATTATTTTTTAACTTGTTTAAATTTTGTTGTCGCTTAACTCAAAAGAGATAATTTTAGCTTTTCAGTTTCTTTTCTAGAATAAATTACATTGTCACATTGGATTTCGTACTATAGTTGGTATTCTGATGCATGCACATCATGTGCCATAAGAGTTGCGAAAAAAATTATAATATTAAGTGTTTCTCATTCAGTATTTTAGAGTATCGGTTTAGTGGTGGCGTGTATAATTCTAGTAGTTGTCAATTATACCGTTACCCATAAATCCAAGGTTTGACTATGGCCTGATTAGTACAACTTCCAAGAGCTGAGTTTGAATTGTATTAAAGTTTTTGAGAAAATTGGGTCGGACTAGCTTTGAGAAAATAAATTGCTCACGAAGACCGGTTGGTTGATGAAAGTTTCACTATAAACAAATGGGTTATATTATATCATTTCATGGTGGACAGGCAAATTATTGGTCCGAGTTGATTTTGAACTAGCGTAGACATACTGCCAATGAATTTACAGTCCATCCCCAACTTTTTGGATCTTATGAATAAAAGAGGTACGACTTTGCATTATAGTTAGCTTAGCAGCAATCATAATCCCCAAGAAATCCCAATAGAAATAATTTTATTTGTTCAAGCTTTCATTTATGCTTATTTTGATCAAAGGAAAAAAACAAGGATTCTTAAGGATTGGATTTTTTGTCATTATTTATCTGTTCGAATTTATAGTAACCTCTTAATTTTTTTTTTTTCCAACTTCAAATAGATGAAAAGAGAAAGGCTTGAAGCCGGCCACAACCAAAAAAGGCTTGTGTTTGATTTCATCTCCCCAAATGTGAGAGAAGAAGTCGACTCCACAAAGTCACAAACTACCACACCTAGAATTTATAATGGAATTTTTGGGACAATATGTCTTAAATATTGAGAAAAGAGAAACGTTAAGGAGACTCTTTGTGAACTCTCTACCATCTCATGTTTTTGGTATAATATTTTAAAATATTAATACGAAAATTAACGTTAAATTGTAAAATAACAAAAACTCTATGAAAAGTTTCACTTTGAAATAGTTCTCTTATCATTTCTCCTGAGAAAAACAAAACAACTATTTTTATAAATAAGTAGGCCTATGTTTTGCTTAACATGGGCTCCATGTTGATCCCGATCAAACCATTTTCCGATCTTTATACCTGAAAAGACACTTACTTTATTTTTTTTAATTCTCATATATTGTTTATAAAACGTTTGTTAATTCAGATGATATTAGTTTAGCGTGTTTGGATCAGTTGGATAATCTTCAAAATATTGAAGGTTGCCTTTGCCATTATCCGACAGAGACCAATGATTTAAGGTTCTGTCACTTTCAGATTTCTTTATTACTAATTTATTGAAAATAAAGACCATATTGATAATGCTATATGACATACTAAAGATGTGCAGAATGTTACCTAACTCCCTCTAATGCTCCAAACTAGCAGACAGTTAGCCATGTTTTTTTTTTTTTTAACAGACAATATTATTTACAATAAAAGGTGAGAAAGTGAGCTAAGCTTCACAATAAGCTATTAATAATGTGATTCAAATTCGTCTTTGATGAGAATCAAACCTAAGACCTTTCACTTACAAATGAGGAAAAATATCACTAAACCGTAGTATTAAACGACAGTTATGCTACTTAACTCCCTCTAATGCTCCAAACTCAATAGGTATAAAATTGATTATAATATACCATGATAAAAGAAAGAAAAAACCTAAAACTGATCGAGGCAAACGTTAGACATTTTTTTTTATTGTTAAGAAAATTTACGCCTCGCCTGGATGCTTACGGTTCTCAACATACGATGGCCACATCCACAGAGTTATAATGTTCTCACACGTCGTTTAATGTTTATGAAAAGCATCGCTAATCTCTTCCAACTATTTTTTCGTCTAGTTCTTATTAATTTGGACTCAATCCCTCACGTAAACATTTTAAGCTTAAAAGAAGCAACCAGTCAGGTCCATAAAGACCAAAGTCGGAAAACTAAACCACGGCAACCAAATGTGTTTTTAAGTCGAAGCAGAGTGACAAAAAATGTGTCACCAAAAAGACTTTATATGAAAGCCCATGTGTCTGAGCCTAAGCCAGATTCCAATCAATGTTTAAAATATCGGTACGAATTTAAATATCGACATGCAAATTTGTGAAAATATTAATAAATATATCAAATATCGATATCGATATCAGTTGCTTTCTATAAAAATGATGGAAATTTAAAATAAAAGTTTAGGAATTGTCAAATGTTGATTTGAATGAAATATAATAATTTATCTAATATTTAACATATATGCTAGAAATATCAACGATATCTATCAATTTTAGACCAAACCTAGTTTCTCTGATATAAGGTGAAGTTCAGACTTCACTCCCCATTTTCATATTTTTCTTTGATTTTTTTGGATATTTTTATAAAAATATCGACCTTATCGAATAAATTTTAAACATAGATACCAACTAGCATGACATTCGTTTTTTTTCAAAAAAATAGAAATTGGTTGCGACTCATTCTATATCAAACTTTAATGATCCAAATCGTTTTCAATGTTTCTTAGAAGATGGTACTTGTCGATTTCTTTAAACTCAATCAGATGCCTCAAATATTTTTAATTTGACTAATATTTTGCAAAAATAATTTATGAAATAAAGAAGTTTAATGTGTGTAGAGCCCACAACCTATCCCCATATTTGTTGCCACTTAGTATTATCGATATTCATCTTCATTTGTAAATAAAAGATCTTAGGTTCAATTTTCATCAAAAACAAATTTAAACCATATTATTACTAATTCATTGTAACGTTAAACCTATATTTTCTCTTAACGTAAATAATATTATTTGTTAAAAAAATAATCCCCGTACTTGTTAAAAAATAGGATCCCTCCCCTTAAACTCTGATAAAATAAAACAGAGGGCTTTTATAGTATGGAGGAAGAGAGGGAGAGAAGAAGCGTTTGAAAATAGGCAAAAGGTGGGTCTTCTGAGTAATTAGGGCACAGAGATCAAAGGGTGTCGCTGTCACTTGTGTGAGAGAGAGAGAGAGCAATGGCGTCTTCGAGTTTGATTAGGGTTTCCAGGGCTATCATGGCGGCGACCAGATCCTCCAGTTCCACCGGCGGAGCTGCTCTCTTATCCTCGAAGGCCGCCACCAGTGCTGTTCCGAAGCCAAAGGCGAAGGCTAAGCCCAAGGAAGCAGGTGATTCGACCAAGCCCAAAGCCACCCTCGGGATTATGAAGCCGACTCCGATCTCTCCAGCTCTGGGTAGCTTCCTCGGCGTCAAGGAGTCCTCCCGGGCCGAAGCTGTCAAGCAGATCTGGGCCCACATCAAGCTCCACAATCTGCAGGTCCTCGTCTCTCTCGGCTCCACACTGTATTTTGTCTATATATTTATAAATATCTTCTAACTGTTTGATCTTTCTTTGTTTTGGGGTTTTTCTTTGATGGGTTCTAATAAGATGCTTTGTTTTTTGTTTTATTTATGTGGGTTTTGCTTAAATTTACTTTGTAAAGTAGAAGATTTTAGCTGGGAAAAAAAGTCTCAAAGCTCTAAAACCCTGAACCCTAAGCCGTAAATCCCCCAAAAAAATTAAAAAAAGAATAGTAAAATAGGAACTAGCTGTAGTGGGGTGCAGAAAATGAGATATCTAGGCACTTTTGGATGATCATTCTCTAGGTCTGTTGTTTTTTTCTAAGAACGAAATATATTTGTTGTATCCTAAGATTTTACTTGGCCGAATGTGGAGTTTAAACAACGCGTCGTTAGTCAGGTTTTGAAGATTCGAATATGAGCTTTTTTTTTTTTCCCCGAAGTCAATTAAACCCCAAGAGATGCTGCTCTGCATTTCTGTTTTTACTTCTATTTGATGGCCATGTGGTAGTATCTAGTGGTTGCATTTGGATTTGGCTGGTGTGAATTGGGTATCCAATGTTCCAAGAGTCAGATTAAGTACTAAATATCCCCAGTTTGTGATTTTTGTATTAACTGTCCTACTTGTCTTGTCTCACCTTCCTTGGCATCTGATGCATGCATCTTATGTGTATGGGCATCATGTTCAGGTGTCAAATTTACACGATTTTAAGCATATGTTGACATAATATTGGTTCATGATCCTTAATTTTGATGTGCAATTTGGATAATTCTTGGTTCTCATTTGTTGCTTGGATTCGATTTCGTGTTTAGCATTTTTCATCAGCCTGGCATCACAATCTTATTCAGAATGCATTTGGCTTCAGTGTTGAGATGTAGATTCATGCTTACTTTAATACTTTGAGATGTCTCTGCTGATTGTAATTCCGTAGTTTCCCAAAAAGTTGCAGGGATGCTATAATATAGCTTTGTAATGTAATTATGGATCATGATTTATAGTTTCTAACTAGGATGGCTAGTGAGTAGCTATTACAGCTAAGAGATGTTATGCAAGGTCTTCTTTTATCGACATAAGTATTTCTTTGGGCAGCTGAATAAAGTTATGCTATATAAACTTCTGACCCTCAAGATCTTCTGTGTCTTGTCTAAACAAGTGTTTGCAGTCATAAGTAATGCCATACTTGCTTCCATTGATCTTGAAATATTTTTATATAAGTAAAACTTGATGATTGAAGACCCAATCTCTAGTCTGTGTATTGAGGCAATGCTACATGTCAATTAGTATAGCCAATACGAAGAAACATGCAACAATGTAAGCCTTGGCAATTACCCAAGGGGTTGGAAGACTTTTTAAGTGTTATGTTTTCGACTTACATTGTTGCTTGTTTCTTTTGACGTGAGCACCTAGATGCTGATGGCACGAGACTGTGTGGCCTTGTGGCCTTAGTACTTGGAATTTCTGTCCATGAAATTCAAATGAGTTGTGCCCTTACATGTCTGTGGGTTGGGTTTGTGTATCAAACTAGATGGTCTGGGAAATTGTCACATATTGAAACCGTATGCTTTGTATACACTAAATTTGTGACTGCTACTTAATTCTACGGTAGTTTAGGAAAGTGCAGCGGGGGTGTGGATCCTAACGTGTTTATGGAATGCTTGTTTTCATATGAATTTTGTACAATTGAAATGTGAAGTTGAGTTGAGTAATAGTACTCAAATACTTCTGCTTTGTGCTTTGTGCCTGCAGAATCCTGCCAACAAGAGGGAGATTTACTGTGATGACAAGCTAAAGGGGATTTTTGAAGGGAGGGAAAAAGTGGGCTTTCTGGAAATTGGGAAGCTGCTTTCGCGCCACTTTGTGAAGGCTGAATGAATGTCCATTCGTGTTGCTTTGATTTGATGTAGTTTTATGTTCACCAACTTTCGTTTGTGACCTTATTTTGAGGAAGGGAAGGGCTTTCGTAATTGAAATTAGTTGGTCTGCCTTTTGGATGTATAGAAGGCACGTAGGAGAACATGATCCGTTTTAAATTTAATGGCGTGTTTTCCAAACGGGATAAGAGGAAAGAAACGGAATTGCACGCCTCTCAAAGCATTCCAGCGCTTGCTGACATTTGGGGAATTAGAAAAGGCTTATTAATACCTCACAAATTATTGAATAAACCTTACATACTTCATACATCTTACATTTGCTTTTTCACTTAAAAATTATCTTAATACACTTCACATGTTTTCCCATAATACACCTTACATCCCACATTCTCAATATACAACTTATATTTTCTACATACATTCCATATTTTCTATACATCCCACATTTCTCAAATCTTATAACACTCATTTTTAATTTTCAGGGATTGAATTTAAACATTTGAACGTTTAGTTTTGCTGAATGATTTCAAATCATACGTTTGCCGAATGATTTCAAAATGAATGATTTCAAAAATGTTCATATTCATTTGAACTTTTCCAAAAATGCAGACTAGAATTTGAAAAAAATGCCGCCTAAGATTTAAATCATATATGAGTTTGTTTTCAATTCCATCATTAAAACCCATGTCGTATGTTTTTAATATTTGGTGGTAATTTAGGTGTTTAATTTTTCACGTAATCCTTGTGATCCCTAAAAGATGAATATGAATATAGAAGTTTAAATAATGCAGCAAAAGCAAGATTAAATAGTTATTGATGTCATCGAAATCACTAAAACAATGAAAAATATGGAGTCTTACCTCATATGAAGTTTCCGAAACATCGATTTCGTGTTTCATTCGTCAAAAATAATTTTTCTAAATCAACATGTCTGTAGTTTCATTGGTTAGGGTTTCGTTCAACAATGGAGGATGAGAGAGGTTTTGATAGTTGAAGAAGAGAAATAATACGCTAAAAGTGATTTGGGGTGTATTTATAAATTTTTTGTTTTTTTAAAACCTAACAAGGTCAAAATTATCATTGCATAATGAAGTAAATAAGTCATTTAATATTAAATTTTAATATAAGTGCATTCAACATTTTGTGGGATACTAACATAAAAAACCTTTGAAAAAGGGTGGGTCTCCCTAATATTAGTAATCGAATTCCTAAACTATTCGGAATTGAATTGCCTAGATAAAGGTGGTATTTGGACTCCGAGAAGACGGCTCTGTTTGGAATCAAATATTTCTTTCCAAAATAAAGCTAAATTTGTTTACGTTAATCCCTTCCACCTTCAGTGCTCCCCCCCCCCCCCAGATCCGTTTCTCCGCCCTTGGCCTACTGCCTTGCGAACTTCACCAGCAAAGACCCTTCGTCGATTTCGTCGGTTGGTGATGGCCCGAATTTTTAAATTTTTTTTTAACATATGATATTATTTATAGGGGAAGGGGATGAGTTTAATTTCACAATGAGTTAGGAATGATGTGATTCAAATTCGTTTTTAACAATAATCAAATTTAAGATCTTTCACTTATAGGTAAAGAGGATATCACTAGACTGTAATACTAAGTGATTGACGATCCAAACTAAATATTAAAAAAAAAAATAATGGGGAGAGAGAGAGAATTAGAGGCGGAGGCAGGAGTAGATCTATTCATGGACCTTCGAGGACCACCCAACGGTGGAGTGATGGTGGAGGAGAGAAGACCACAATGGCTGTGCATATATTCTTCAAGAGAAGTTTTGAACAAAGAAGAAATGTCTCATTTTAGCTGATAGGAGCAAAGCTCTGCTGTTTTTTGAACCTTGTTTGGTTGTTCCAACAAAGAAGAAAGAGAAAATGATTTTCTTTCTCCATTTTTCATGTGACCGACTCCCAATTGTCGGGCGGTGGTGGAGGACAGAAGACTACAATGACTGTGAGTATATTCTTCAAGAGAAGTTTTGAACAAAGAAGAAAGGTCTAATTTTAGCTAATAGGAGCAAAGCTATGCTGTTTTTTGGACCTTGTTCCAACAAAGAAAAAAGAGAAAATGATATTCTTTCTCCATTTCCCATATGACCAACCCCCTTTTTATGTTGTCCAATTAGGTTGTGCCACTTAATATTTTAATTAATAAACAATGATGTATTACCCAACTAATACTTTTATTACCCATGTTTGGCATTGTTATTTCTTTTAAAATCCATTATAATTCATACAACCTTTAAAATATTTCGTAAAATACTACATACTTGTAATCACTTCATTTCATACCATCAAATTTACTAAATTACTAAAGCGAAAATTCTGATATCTCATTCCCTTGTTGGTGTTGTTTCCTTCTCTAAAATGAATGGAGAGTGATGACTGATGAGGAAGCCAACAACAAGGAAGAAGGATGTTTGCCACCGTCGACGCCGCTCTCTCAACCTCCCTCTACTCTCTCTCCGTCTTTACATGAATCATTACCAGAGCAACGCCAAGGAGTGGCAAGTAAACAGGAATTACAGTAAACAGATAGCAAGGAGACTGCTCAATATATTCTTAAAAAGTTTCCAGTTATAAATTTTTTTTTTCATGAATGTACCTCAGAAATCGTTAGTTAAGGAGATGAGTTATCCATTGCTCTACGATGGCAGGAGACCCGTACCATGGTCTCAACATATCATCTGAACCAACTGGTGAGTGGTAAACACCGTCGAAGCTAATGTTGAGGGCACCCTCCAGATGGGCTGATGCTTCTGGTACAACCCCGTCTCCCCAAACATCTGCCTGCCCACATACCTGAAACCAAACGGTAGTCTCATTATTGGCATTCAGCCTGCAACTTTGATGCTCGATCGGCTTACAAGAAATGTCAGAGGACATAACACCAAGAAACATAACTATCATAAGATATCAATGCAAACTGTATTCTGTATTTCAGTTGATATTCATAATTTTAATTTGATTGGAAGTGACCGTTTAAACTGCTGAGACAATGGGGAGTTTTACCTGCTTGTACCCTTGCCCGACAAAGCGCGCTCGCAAGGTGGTGGTGGTTGTGGTTGATGTTGGAGTGCTCAAATTCGCATCATTTATGAGAGCAACATCTGATGAGGGTTCCACACCCTCTATCGGGAGGGCAGAATCAATGGTTTCGTTTGAGTTGCCAAATAAACGAACACCTTGAATATACCTGCAGTTTTACATATACATGTCTCATATATATTTTGAGGATTTTTCATTCAAGCAACTACCATTGCATAGAAGGTCAAAATCGATAACAGTGACACAAATAGGTGCGTGTCATTTCACACCCTTTAATTTGTCCCCAAAAAAAAAAAAGGTTACGTAAAGTAAATTCATTCAGATAATAACAGAAGCAATCTGAACTGGAACAAAAATCAGAATCAAATTATGATTTTACCTCCCTGCGATACATACATATTTCAGTTCGGGAGTGTAAACAGCTTTCGAGCAATGCTTATTAACATAATCCAGGAGACCCCTCGTTTGATCAATGACCCCTGACACGCCTTTTGGTGGTGGCCTGAAACAACAGATAGGTCGTGGTTATGATGAAATTTGAAGTAAGATTATACAGATGGAATAACAGAAGCGCCTAAGGATGTCATCGCCAAATAAACCTTAACTTTACATATGCAGTCATCAGCAAGAAATTATTAAGATAAGAGTTTGATAACATACTGGTGGGGGGTTCCAAGGGTCAATAATAACGAAATATCTGAAAATCCGAATTCTTCCATGTAAAGACGCGCAAGCCATCCTCCTGCTGAGTGTCCAACGAGGGATAAAGTCCCACCTACAACGAAGTATGTCCAACAGTTTTAGAGCTACAACAAATGAAACAAACAGTTATACTAGTGTACTTGCTGGAGAACTCGAGTATCCAGTCAAATTAAGTAAAGGTCTTTTGGCATAGCTTAATGGTTGCTTCATGGGGGCGGTACTGGATGCCTTCTGGCGTAGAAAAGCTTGATATAAATTTCCATTTAAAGCATAAGCTAAGCTGCATTTCAAAAGCTCCTAAAGCATGAGAATTCTAAAATCAAGCAACGCGATTTAAGATCTAGCAGCACGCTAAGAGGTTGACAGAGATGAAATCAATTTATCTTTTAGTATCATCTAAGATAGGACAAGGCAGCACGTAACAAATGATTCGATACAGACCTTTATCTCAAATTCATTTCAACAACCCTCAAGGAAGCGTTAGTTTTAGCTTTATCGAGATTAACGGTGAATATAAGTATTCTGGATTCAGAAGAAGTAAACAGGAAGACGTACATAATAACATGTAATGCATAGCAGTAAGACAGAGTTGAGCAAGACCTTGTGACAGCTCCTTGGCCTCTTGTACCGCCTCGTCCACCCTCTTTAAATACCTGACAACGCAACCTCATTCGTTGTTAGCTCGAATTCAATCCAGTAATCTAACCTATTATATATTTATAATGAGAGTCAATTAAATTCCAAAGGTTTACACATAAGGAAACAGACGTTAACAATTACTGGAGAGTGAGTCGACATACCAGTCGAGTACAGGCCGGGGACTGAGAGTTCCTCGCCAGTAATTGGGGTCAACCAAGCCGGCGGCATTCCTCAGCCAATCAATTCTTGACACCTTAGCAACCACTGTGCTCACTCCATACCCTCTCAGAGTCAGCTCCAACTTCTGGTAGTCAGCTGAATTGTTCCCCAAACCCTGAAACCAGACAACCACACAACATGAATTAAGCTTTGTACAAAATGCCATCATCCAAAGTGTGTGCATAAAATGTTGGTGCAAATTTGGAGATATTGGTTAGATCAGTTAGTTATGGCAGTGCGACAGCCATGGAATTCGGATTTTTATAGTATAAAATATCGCTCCCGTAAATTAAAATAGTTTAAAATATCGCTGCCTTGTCAAAAAGGAAATGTTATTGCATATTTTTATAGTAAGTGAGAACTCCAGATGAGTAAAAGAGAGAAATTATGAACTTAACTGGAAGAAGAACAGCGGGTCGGTATGACGAAGACGAAGATGAAGACGAAGATGAAGATGAAGACGAAGACGATGATGTGTCCTGAGAGAATGCAGAGGTGGAGAAGGCCAGTGGCTTTAAAGGGGATAAAAGCATAGCCATTCCCATACCCAGACCAGAACAAAGGGAAAGGTGATGTTGGGGTAGGCATTTTGTAGTTTGTAGCAAAGACACACGCCACTGGCATTCTTTGCAAGTTCGACGGTTGAGGTTAGGTTCAAGGACACGTGGCCTACTGCAATCCTCTAGCTCCAATAGGCTTCTTTTACTCTTTTGCTAGTATGATATCTGGTTGGACATCAATTATAATTTATTTTTAAACTTGTCATTTATGAAAGTCGAATATTAAATATCTCATATTGTAATCTCAACAATAATAAAGAGGTGTACCCAAGGAGAAACCATTTCTCCTCTTAAAGACTTTGTAGGAATTTAGTGCTCTTACGGTAACATTTTACAATCCGACTTTTGAAGAATTATTTTGCAAAGCGAGACGATAAATATTATTTCAGAGAATGAGTCTAGTAATCTAATTCGAGAATGATTTTTAAGAGAGAACATTGAAAACGTGCATGTTATCAATATCTATAATTGAATAAAACATTCGGGTTTGGTAATAGTGTTTTTGTAATATAAATTTTAAGATGACAACAGTAATAGTTATAATGATGATGGTTGCAATAGGTGGTGGTCATGGTGGCGGGGTTGATGGTGGTGGGAGGCGGTCGTAGGTAGTAACAAAAGTACATGATCAACAACTTTCCTTTCAAGTTTATTTTTAAGATGAAAAATTCTTATTATCAATCCTATTGTTTTATGCGATATGTTATTTTACGTGATATATACAAATACATTTAAGACATTTCACATATTACGTTCTGCGTGGTCACTTTGTTTTTTCTATTTCAGCAACTAGGATTCGTAACTTATCTTTCAAGGGTTCCAAAAGAAAAGGGTGGCGTGTCTTTTTTAATCCGTGTTTTTGTAGTAGCCGAGCCGTGAGTTACAATAAGAGTACATCCAATGCACGCAAATTAGTTTAGGGAAAATTATTTTTTCGCTTGAGATGACAAAATTTAATTTCTAACGAAATATATCTAGCCCAGGCTAAAATAGCCATGGCTTTTAAAGGGGCTAGTTTAGCCTTGCTTCTTCAAGGGACTATTTTAGCCCTGAGTCGTAAAATGTCAACTTAGAAAGAAACTGATAACCGATGAAAACTAGTCATTAAACACTTTTTAATTTCAAACGTCTCAAGAAACAAAATTTTAAGAGGCCTATATTTCATAAATAATGACATTTTGAGAGGAATAAAGCTTTTATCCTGGCCTTGCCCTTTCAACTAGACTTGCTTTAAGTGGAGGACATGGATATGCCCCAGTTTAAAAAAAATTTCTGTGAACGTTCACTGATTACTTGAAGTACCGGCTTGTAAACATCTCTCTTGGTCATGACCCAAACCTTGGGTAGCAAAATTTGAATGAGATTCTCCAATTACGTCCATTCATCGTACATTGTACAGTCAGAAATATTATAATTTTTTTATTCAAAATCAAATATAAACAATACTTAACGAAAATTAACTGCATGATGTACAATCAATGAACGTGAATCCTCATTTCTAAAATTTGACGCAACGGTCATATAATGTTCAAATGTGGAGGCCGTTTGCCGATGCCACTGCCTTCACCTCTTCAGCATGCTGCGTCTGAAGATCTCAGCCAAACCCTCGCCCCTCCTGCACTCTATTACCACCGTCTCCTACTCCTCCTCCGCCTCCATCTCCACCCCAACCCCCACCGTCGATTTCCTCCACTCCTACACCGTGATCCCTCCAATCCAACCCTGGCCCCGACGCCTCTACCCAAAGCGCCTCATCTCCCTTATCGCCCACCAACCCAACCTCGACCTCGCCCTCCAAATCTTCCACCACGCCTCCAAATTCCACCCCGGATTCTCACACAACTACCACACTTACCACGCCATCCTCAACCGCCTCTCCCGTTCCCGCGCTTTCCACCCCATGATCGACCTCCTCCTCTCCGACCTCAAAAACTCCCAAATCCAATGCTCCGAAGACATTTTCATCACCCTCATTCGCAATTTCGGCGTCTTGGGTCTTCTCAAACTTGTCCACTTGTAATAAACTGATCAAAGCGCTCCGTAAAAAGAATGATGTGGAGACTGCACTCAAGGTGCTCAACGAAATGCCTGCAATGGGGTTTGTCCGGAATGTGGTGACTTATACCACGATTATCGGCGGGTATGTTTTGCGGGGTGATATGGTTGGCGCCAAGAGGGTTTTTGGGCAGATTTTGGATGGAGGATGGTATCCGGATGCGACTACTTATACAGTTTTGATGGATGGGTTTGTTAAGCAAGGGAAGTTGGTTGATGCCGTTAAGGTCATGGATGATATGGAGGAAAATAAGGTTGGAGCAAATGAGGTCACTTATGGGGTTATGGTTGAAGCTTATTGTAAGGGCAAAAGTCGGGCGAAGCGGTTAATTTGCTTAATGATATGAGAAAGGGTATATACCAAGCTCGGCGCTTTGCTGTAAGGTGATTGATGGTTTGTGTCGCGAAGGGAAGGTGGAGGATGGTTCTGAATTGTGTAAAAAGCTTTTAAAGAAGAATTGCAGCCCCGATAATGCAATGTCAAGCACTCTCATGCACTGGTTTTGTGAGAAGGGAAACGTATGGGAAGCTAAGAAACTGTTTGATCAGCTTGGCACAGATTCGATTCCAAGTGTCATGACTTACAACATGCTTATTGCGGAAATGTGTGAAGTGGGGGAGTTGTGTGAGGCAGGGAGGTTGTGGGATGACATGGTGGAGAAAGGGTGTGCTCCGATTGCTTTTACGTATAGTATGTTGATCAAAGGATTTTGTAAGATTGGAAAAGCAGAGGAGGAGATTAAGGTTTTAGAGGAGATGATAGAAAAAGGCTATTTGCCACTTTGCCTAACAAGTCTACTTATGATATGTTGATTGTGGGGCTCTGTGACTCAGGAGCAGAAGCTGAAGTCGCGAAAGTTGTTTCGATGGCAATGTCAAGTGGAGACACAAACATTGCTTCCTGGGGTCTTTTCGTTACTAGGTTTGTTGGTGATCTGGATACTGGGGAAAGTCTTCTGGACAAGATACTACTGAAGAATGTTCAACATACTCTCATTGGAGGAGGGGGAGCGCAAGCATTGTAACAATTGAACTCGGATGCACAAACCATAATCTCGTGCGCCCGAAAGCATTTCATTGCTTGGGGGAAGTTGAATCCTCCTGTTGAGTATATAGGATTGGAGCATCAAAAGATGAAAGCTTTATGGATGGGGTTCGCGTTCAAGCCCAGAAATAAAAGCCCAAACACAAAGAGTTGGGTTAACAAAAGAAAGAAAATAAGACACTTTTTCTTATATTTTATGGGAATTGTTATTAGCATTTCAAAAATCTCATTTGACACTCTAAACTTTCTATAATTAGAAGGAAAAATACACTTGTAAGGATTGTAAAATGTGATTTTTGGAGTGCTAATAACAATTCCTTATTTTATTTTAGGGAAAATTAGAAATAACTCCAAAAATTGATAGTATTTTTTCTTTTCTTTTTTATTGATAAAATACAGAGTTACTAACTAAAAAAAAAAGAAAAGAAAATAGAGCCCCATTTTTATTACTATTTTACGTTTCATTGCATTATTTTTTATTTTTTTACCCTAAAAAAAAAAAAAAAGGATCAGTTGGTTGCTTCGCCACGACACTCCACTATTTCGATGCTTAAGAAGACTCACCGAAGCATTTCAGCTTTCTTCTGACCACCATCGTGCGTTTCATTGCATTATTGGAGATGCACTTAGAATTTTTAGTATAGAGGTGTATAAAAATCACATTGACATCCTATTTACATCTCATTTTCTTTTCAAGGATGGAAGTGTGAGTTCTACATCTCATATGTTTAGCCCTCAAAAATATAAAATTATATTTTTATTAGTTTTTAGTATATACCCCAAGTATTTCTACATCATGCCATTAAGTAGTGGGCTCCAAGAAAAAGAAATGTCCAAAAGCCTGGGGGCTTACACTATTTAGCTCTTCTAGAGCCTGATTTGAGCACCAATATTTCGCCCATTTGCAAAATGCTCTTGATTGTAGACTGTTTTATTCATTTCTGGCGAATATTGGCCGAATACCCTTCGTTACATTGGAGATCCTCTTAAAACTTGTATCTTTGTCAGGGGCGGTTTGGGTCAGGATCCCGTACTAAAACTTACTACTCAAATTCCAAACCGATCCCTTTTCGGACAGGATTTCGAAAAACCAAACCGAATTGAAATTTTGGTATTCTTGACATTTTTTTGGGATTTCAATATAGTTCGGGATTTCAATTTGATTCGCATTTGCCTTCTTGCAAAATCCAAATCCATGCATATAAAAAACCCAATTACCAGACACGTTCAGATTTCACATAACCACCCATCCATTCATACAAAGTGCAATGTTTAGAATATTAGAGTGACAATTTTTACCTTTTGGATATGAGCATTTTATGATGTCCGCTGCTCTTTATTCTTCGTTGAATCTGCAATTTTCGTTTTCAACAGACATGCAGGGATGTTACTTTCAAATTCTTTACATTCCGAAGATGGACGTACAAATGAAAGAATCATATGGGGTTCCACTAAATTTTACCATTTTAGTTTTAGGGATTGGACTTTCACACATCGAGCAGATGGGATGTTACACTCAAATATCATACCGAACTTTTTGGGATCGATTCGGTTTCGGGTACCTAACGGTTTGAGATTTTCGGTTCAAGACGTTTTCGGTTCAGTTTCGAAATTTTTAATTCGGTTCGGGTTTTTCGGTATTTTCCTCCACCCCTACATATAACGTTCAAAATTTTGACAAGACGTCCTCAAAACTTGGTGGTCCTTTACGAGAGAGCATAAAATAAAGCACAAGCGTAGAATTAACGCGAGCCGCCATTAGCTTTATGGATTCTGTTTATCATTTGGATTAAACTACAAATTGATGAGATTCTAACATCATACTTGTTTGCTTTATGATCGTACATATACCCTTCATTTCTTTCAAATCTCACACAAGCTTTTGTTTGAGTGTTTAAGGCAAAGTGTCAAATT